ATTCATCAACTTCTACATAAGAAGAAAACACAAGTTGACATATAGATATATCGACGATGTATTATCAATTAACAATAGTTACGCGTACTTCCATCAGTAGCAGATTTAAAGGGGGCGCACCGGCGCCTCCCCTCCCCCCCTAAAACCGTCAAAGTTAGCATAAATTATAGTTTCGTCGAGAAAATGTAAAAATGTCTACTCGGTAGACCCCATTTTTATCCTACAAAATCTCTAGAATCCAGGAGCTTCCGGGGGCTTCACCCCATGGGCCCCCACCAGGCCTTCGCCCCGGACCCACTGGGGGCCTCAAGGCGGCCCCAGACCCCCTGCATACTTTTTGCGCCCCCTCCTAACTTCAATTCCTGGATCCGCGCCTGTCCATTCATATGTCGATTCGATATATCCCAATTATATTGAAATAAAAAATACCACATAGTCTGACACATCTGTTTCATATTTGGATATTTTACTAGAAAAAGACTTCAATGGTAACCAAACTTTATGATAAACATATAGAGTTTATGTCTCCCAGTTGATTCGATACGCAAGAGCATGCTTTGTACAGGAACAATTTCTAAAAGGAGGCAAACAAGTTGATGAAACAAGGATATCAACAGTCCCGTTTAGAGTGTACATTTCGCAACTTCTATGGTCGATACAATGACCTTGTCAGAAATACAATCTATCATTTAGTCGAATGTTGACTAACGTTAATCATACTAATTGTCAGGCCATTATTCACAAACTGCATTGTCTACGGTGTGACCGGTCGGCAGGGGATGCTTACTCCTCCATGGCACCCGATCCCACCTCTGATGTTTTTAGAGGTCTGTGTTTGTTCTCCTCCAAATTTATATTGTTTCAATGGACTTTTGAGCTTGATTACTGTTCGTTATCTCCATATTTCATCATAGCTTTACGTAGGTAGAGGCTTCGTAGCTGCTACGCTCTTGAACACATCCCTGATCTACATTTACCAAAGCATCGTGTGTATTACTCTACTGAGGGAGAAAGTTACAGGATTGGAAAAGTCAGGCAAAACTTCATAAGATTTGAGTGCGTGTTACTAGAAATAGAACCAACAGATGAAGAGGACTAGGCTGTACGAGGTTCTTTTGTTACTCTAATCCTGATGAATGTCTTTGAAAAAAAAAATTAAAAAATCCAACGTTCAAGTGCTTAAGAGAAATAAGGAAAATAATACATTTGGCAGGAATCAAAATAGACAGAATGAAACACCTGCCAGAAGATGCAAAAACTAAGACGAGGAAATAGGAAAAAAATAAGATGAAACTTTTTTTTAAATGCAAAACATCATCAATTAATATGCCACATGACATGAAGAGAACAGGCAAAGAAAGGTGAAGATTACTCATTTTCTTCTTTTAACTGTTTAATCTTTCCCTCAAAGATTTAGCATTCATTAAGTTACAAAACCTCCAGTGTATCTCTACCTTTTACTTCAATGAGACACATGTTAAGTCGTCGACGAGAAGCTGCACGGTAACCAGGGAGGCCGATTTTAAGACACACTTAAAACATTAAAACTACGTTTTGCCAAGCATTCCGATACGTTTCGGTTTCTTGACACTTCGGCTAATGACAGTTTGGACCCTAAACTATTATAAATTATATACATGTATGTTAAAATAAGATTAATAGGAACGAATTTTATAGTACATATCCAAAGTTTAATCTTTTTTTTAAATTTTGCTTGTATATAAAGATCACTGTTTGATTTTCAGTTATTCATCATTATAAAATTAATTCTTGAAGTTATGTTATACATTTTCTACGTCGGCAAGAGTTAAAAATGTATATATAAACAACACGATTAATTGCCTTGTTTTGACATCATAGACAGCTGCTTTTTCAATAAAATGAAACACGTAAATATACTTGCCTTGTCATTGGTCATTTGCAAAATTATTTTGTTAAAAACATTCTCATTGTACACACAAGTACTCTGAAGGTGATGTTAAAAAGATGCTTGAGTTTCTGATTCACAATATGTAGTTTTTGGAGATCAAATCTTCCAACAATCTGTTGGAATTCCCATGGATACCAATTTCGCCCGCTTATTAGTAGGCCTATTTTGTATTCATATGAAGCAGAATTTATTTTTGAAAAAAAAGAAACTTCTACATGAGAAGACGAAAACACTTGCTGCGGCCTTCAACTCGACATTTAGATATATTGACGACGTATTATCAATTAACAATAGTTACTTCCATTCATATGTTGACTCGATATATCCCAGTGAAACTGAAATAAAAAATACCACAGAGTCTGACACATCTGTTTCATATTTGGATATTTTACAAGAAAATGACTTTAATGGTAACCTAACAACAAATAAAGCTTTATGATAAACGTGATGACTTCAATTCTTCAATCGTCAACTTCCCTTAATTATGTAGCAATATATCCTTATCACCTGTATATGGAGTTTTTGTCTCCCAGTTGATTCGATACGCAAGAGCATGCTCTTCGAATGAACAATTTCTAAAACGAGGCAAGCTTTTGAAAAACAAGTTGATGAAACAAGGAAATCCACAGTCTCGTTTGAAGTCATCATTTTGTAAGTTTTATGGGCGATACAATGACCTCGTCAGCAAATACAACCTATCATTAAGTCAAATGCTGCCGTTTTCCCCGATCACGATGAAGAGCACACGGCGGGTGTGACCGGTCGGCAGGGGATGCTCATTCCTCCATGGCACCTGATCTCTGTGGTTTTTGAAGGTCCGTGTTTGCTCTGCTTCTTATTTGTATTGTTTAAATGGACTTTGAGCTTGAATACTGTTAGTTATTTCCATATTTCATTTGAAGAGTTTTAAAATAGATCAATGAACATCTGATTGACTATACAAGTAAAAATCACTGATCTTCTATGTTATATGTATTTATTTCTCAACATGAGAGTAAGGCACTAAATTTTCTCGTTGTTTTCTTCCTGTTAAGAAATTTGAAAACGAGTTGAAAAAACAATGTTGTTTTCATGATTAAATACAAAGTAAGAAAAATTGTATAAAGAACCGTCGTCCTCCGTCTATTTGTCCATCTGTAAAATTTGTTTCCAGTTCAAAATGCCACTTCATATACAGTTTTAGTCTAATTTTGATAAAATGTGGCACATCAGGCTTAGAGGCCATAAAACTTAGATGAGCTCACTTTTGATCTGTCTCACTTTCACAAAAAGAATATATATTGGAAAAGTGAGACTGAGATTAAAGTGAGCTCATCTACGTTTTATGGCCTCGGAGCCTGTAGACAACTCAAAGATGGATAATTCTATTCATCATCTTTTAATTTTAATAAAATATATTGAATAAAAATCTCATGTGAAATTATCCCCTTACAGATTTCGTTTGATTTCAATTAAACCTACATGTTAGAAAAACATAAACATAGTATAATTTTTTAAACAGTGTTTCAAGTCCTGCTGAGCTTTTCTCTTCTATTTTAGCAGCACACTTTCATAGTTTTAGTGAAAACAAGTATCGTTCAAAATTTTCCTTTTTCATATCATTGTAATCGCTAGAACTACAATATATATGGTTCCTGCTGGCTCTCAAAGGAAGGGTATCTTTATGATACAGTAGCAAATGGATTGTTACCTTTTGGCACACATTTAAATTTCAGGTATTAAAAAATTTGTGCAAAACGGAACTTTGTCCAGATAAGATAATTACTTAATTCCTATAGTTTATACTATAGTGGTTGTGAAATGGGGAAAAGAAAATCTTAATTAAAAAAAAAATCAAACATAAAAAATAACATTGAAAAAAAAATGTATTCGATCACAAAGAGTCCCACGGTTTAAAATTACATACATGCATGTGCGAATAAAAAATACAGTATTGCAATTAATTGACTACAGGGTTTCTGGGAATTCAGATTAATTTAAAATTCAGATTGAGATACTGTAACTCTTATGATAAATCGAAAGAAATTCTATAATAATAGTTCTGCGTCATAAAATGCTACTCCTTGGCTGAATGGCTTATTTTTCGTTTTCTTTAAATCAAATTACTCTCCATCTTCCTTTCTTGGAAAAAATACTTGCATTCTTTAAATCCACGTACGTGTTATTTCGCGTGTTGTAACAAAGGAGAAAATTAAAATATTGTCATCGCGAAGAAAATTCGCATTCTTTATGATCTATTTAAACAAGTCGAAAACTTTTTTACTCTGTGTACATTTCGAAATTTTGTACGAGATTGCAAAATAGTTTTTATCATAATTAAACGCATGAATACCTGTAAGTCTTGCTATTTTTAATGGAATGCACGTCGTCATAATTCGCAGAATTCTGCTGACACATGATTAAGTTGACCAATCCATGGGAAGATAATCATAAGAATGTAACCTTTATGTCTTGCGATCTTTTTTCTTTTTTTTTTAAAATTAAATCTTGCAAAATGTCAACAAATTCCGAATGTTACCTGTATATACAACTGTTAAAGTCGATTAATTAAAACTATATAGATCGAGTAGAGGGTTTAGGCGCTTGAGGGACGATATTTACTACAGTACAATATCAAAAATTGTATCATTGACAAATATATCCAAAATTTACAACATATTGATGTAATGTTGTTTTTAAAACTTTAAAGTAAAATTTTTTTAGGTCAACAACGTACAATATTTGAGGTAAAACCTCTTGAGCTAGTCCTCTGCTTTTAATCTTATTAATAAATAATTTGTTACATTTTCATGATAAATTGGGTGCATATACTGTATAGTTATAGGTCACTTTGTTGCAATTAAATTGGAAATAGTAATTTTCAAATATATATTGCAAATCATCATTATCATTTATATAGAATGACGCATTTTTATTAATATGTATTAATCGGGGAATCAGTTTAGTAGGAGTCTCGCAAATAATAGTCAATTTTCTATTTTGATTAATGACGGAAAACCAGACGGGTAATTTATCCCTTCGTGGCCCCTTTTACTTCGTTTATTTATAGCAACGTATATTCGACCATAAATAGTTACTGGGGAATTTCCACAGCGAAGGTAGATATACACTGAAATTGCTTATCCAGATCAGTTTGAGCATTTAATACATTAAACATGGACGCCGCACTGTGTGGAATGACGGAGGTTCTGGGGAAAGATGGCATGGTTAAAGTTAGTGATCTCGTGAGTGGGAAAACCTGTGTAGGTAAGAGAACTTAATGTAAGAAGCAGCTACATGTTATATATTGCATATGTAAATCCAACTGAACTTGCATCTCTCTCTCTCTCTCTCAACAATCACAGGTTTATATGTATTGTGCATTAAGTAACTTTACCGGCTAAATGAGATAATCTCATTTGACAGCGTGCAACCGATTGACCATGAACTTTTGGTCAAATATTTACATGTATGTAGAACTCAAACAGGTTTGTTTACAATACGTGGATACCAATCCTATGACGAGTAAACGGTCACTATAAATTGTTAATGATCTTCATTATGTTGTTGTCATGGATGCTCAAATCAATTAGATGTACAAGATCGATATAATTCGCGTTAACACAGGGCAAGAGTGTAGTAATCTAACCTATTCGATCCTGACATATATGATGAAGATTAAAATTGCATTGCGCAAATTTGATGTACTTTAATAAGAACTGTTACCGAGTCTGTACTTCACTGTCCTTATATCAAGGAAGTCGGTTGATATAACAGCAATTCAAATTCAGCCACAAGTGTACACTGCCTCATCTTACTGTACAACATTTTCACTGTTACTGAACTGCAAGATTACTTTCTGTAAAATTATTTCCTTGATTTGATTTTCCGTGTATTTAATATATTGTATAAAGTGATTAAATTCCTGGAAGTTATAAAGTCTTGACTCCATAAATTAAACATCTTAAAAAAAACAAAAAAAAACAAATGAAGTAAATATTGGGAAGTTTGTAATCATTTATCTCCATGTATACGAAAGGTATACTAAAAAATTTATAGAGGCATCATCATACAATTTCAATTTGTTATTTACGAGGTTAAACTGCTCATGTGAGTGGGGCCACGGGGGAGATGAGAAACAGAAAAAAAATTACGAAACTTTCTTTAATCCAGGATTGCATCGCTATATTGATAAGCAAGCATCTTAATGACATCGAATTCCGTTTTGCTCTAGATCATTAGTGGAGGTTACATGTAAGTAGGTGGGCAAGGGATAAACTTTTATGGAGATCTTTTAAAAATGAATTAAAATAAGAATTCTGACTCCAAACATGTCAAAGGTAAGCTTATAGTGAATAAGCCCGTGTCATGTCAGATTGTTTAAAAACACCGTGGCGAATATAATTACTTGCATGTCAAGGCCTCGTGTGAAAACGGATTTACAAATACTTGCAAACATAATCCCCTTTATAAACACGTTCTACTAAGAGTATGCTAGTAGAGTGTCCAAAGGGTAATTTTTAGTCATTCAATTGCAGCTTTGATAGCTCACCTGAGCTGATAGCTCAGGTGAGGTTTGTTATATCTTAAATTAAAAATGTGCCTGTCATCCGTCTGTTTGTCTGATGACATTCTCATTTTCGATTTCCTTTCAAATCTTAACGAAACTTCTCCGGAGTCATCTTTACTCATCGTCTTAAGGCACGGTCCAGAGGTATATATATCTACATGTAGCTTTCTCCCCAGGATGGGATTGGATTGTGCATTTTGGCCGAGGTTTGCAAAGATGGCTTCTATGCAAAGGTTTTCAATTTCCAATAAAAGGCTGCATCCTTGTTTAAGCAAAGGAAATCCTTGTTAAGAGCCCTCTATACATGTACACTACACACTAGAGAGTTCTGATTTTGTGGTATTTTTATGCAAATAGAGTGATCTACCCTTTGATCAAGAATAAAATAAATTGAAATGTACAATTTTTTACTTAATTTGTGATCAAATCAAGCATTCATAACACTTTAATAGGCCAAATGAATAGATAAAACACTTCATTTGCAGATATTTTGCCCACTGAAGTAAACACAGTGATTTATGTTCATCAGTACGTCATTGTCTTTGAACATTTTTCCTGGGGGTAAATGCAAGGCACCCTATGTTGAAAATATGATAGATAAGCTCAATACTTACACCTTTACACACTATAATTTTCTCATTTTCCTCTAGTGTATAGAGAGTCCTTAAAGCAAAGCCATTTTAAGCCTTTTGTTCAAAGATGATAAAGTCAGAAAAAGATTCCCATAAATCTCTTAAAATTCATGTAACGTAGACTCAAATTTATTCAAATCATAACCTGAGCCCCCTTGGCCAGAGGATGGGGACAAATTAGAGATTCAAAATTTAATTTGGAATATATGCATAGAAGAAAGGGAAAATGTTCATATTTATATGCAAGCATTTTTAGATTCTTTTGTAAGGACAGTTTAATTTCGTTCTGATAATGGGCCCAGCAGACAAATAAAACACAACACAGCGTTTAAGCTATAAATAGGAAAACCTGAAGAAAAAGGTGAGCTATCAATAATCAAGAATGGGTTACCTCCTTTTGTCAGAGAGAGAGAGAGAGAGAGAGTAGTGACTCAGGTGAGCATTGTGGCCTATTGGCAACTAAGTCTCCTGTAAAAGTATATTGATCTGAATTAGTTTAAATCATTCTTTAAATGTTATGCTTCTCTAATTTCAATGCATTGTAAAGAACACTGGAAAATGAACAATGAATTTCTTTTTCAACATTTTACGAAGTCGCGGAGACACGCAGGATCAAACTTGCATTTTGTAAAGTTGCAATGACAAGCATTTCTCCTTTAATGATCGCTTGCAATTTTTTCCTTCAATGAAAATTTCGAGATATTTATTCTAAATCACATATGTAGAAAAAAATCTTTTGATTCTGCACAGGATATGAGAGTGAAGGTTAAAATTTTATTATATATGCGAGAGTACATATGTACTGCAATAGAACCATTCATGTTTCTTCTTTTTTCTCCAAAGCTATAGTCAAAAATGGTTTACTACTCCTAATTTTCTTATTGTGTGTCTTTAACTTTAGACAAATACAAAAGCACAATACAAGCGATAAATTTGGTTTTATGGTCAAGGAATGTTAGAGCAATCCTTAAAGTACAACATTTCATATGAAAGTACTTTATTTTTAAAGAATATTCACACATCCCGTGATTTATTACATTGTAATATATTATGCATCAATATGCGTAAGATATATTTAACAAATATAAGTCAGACATCCTTGCAAAGGAAATTGATACAATATCCTGTATTGTATATTGTATATATTCCAGGTCTGTATTTCTCCGCGCACTGGTGCCCTCCCTGTCGCGGTTTCACACCCAAACTGGCTCAGTTTTATAAAGATCTAAAGGCCAATGGTCAAAGTATTGAGATTATCTTCGTCAGCTCTGACCGGGACCAAGAGAGCTTCACAAATTACTACAGTGAGATGCCGTGGCATGCCCTTCCATTCGATCAAGGTGATACAAAGGCAAGTATCAAAACATGTACTGTATATGTGTGCACATTAATTGATAATCAACTTTTTTATTACCTACAGTTTACTTGTATCCTTGATGGATAATAGTCAGCGAAAGTATCCAACTCGGCAGCCAAATATTTTAATGGGTGTTTCAGAGTATAAAAACTAGAGTGTCTCAAGGAACGATTGCGTCTCCTGCTTTGTAGCTTCATTAAAAATGTAAAAAAAATATATATATATATATATATATAAATATATATATAAGAGGTCAGCTATTTATTTACTACTAGCATGATAGTAATGCATCTGCCTGCAAGGAAAAAAAAAGCATGGATAGTATATGACTGCGATAGAATCAAAGAAAATATGGTTCTCAATCCTCAAATGATATAAAATTGAAATTATTAGAAATAATTAAATATCATTTTATCAAAACATGTTTCCAGCAATTCTCCAAAAGAGATTTCAGTCTGTTTTTACTGCAATTGTCAGTCTACACGATCCTTTGTGGAATACCCATCCCGATGTTTTTTCACAGCAGTTTTTGTGGTACCTGAATATCATACAGTTTCAAAGTACAGTGTCATGAGCTCATAAACATGTATTAATGCTTTTAATTAATAATATTCAAAACCCTGCCTCTCAAAATTCAAAAGACATAAATTTAAATTTAAACTGTCTTAGGTATATTTTGAAAAGCAAGTCAAAGGACGAGGTCAAGTGAATTGTAACACTGGTATTTATCATAATGTTTTACAACAAAAAGTGCACATAACTTAGACAAGTAAAAAAAAATATGCTGTATATCGATACTACGAACTATTTTGAAAAGTAAGTCAAGGGTCAAGATCAAGGGTCACAAGGTCGGTCACCATGGTAATTTACAAAAGCTATAGTGCCAAGCAATATATGTGCAAAATATCAAATCCATACCTCTTACAGTTCTCGAGATATTAGTGTGACAGACGGACAGACAGACAGATAGACAGACGCCGAGTAAAGTGATCCCTAAGTGTCGCTCCGCTCTGCGGGCGACACAATAGTAACATCAACCGGTCCAGAAACGCATATCACATATATGTACTAAACTGCCGTGCAAATATGCATTTCAATTTGAAAAAGTTACTAAATTTAATAAAGGTTCATTAACCTTGTGAAAATGGAGATAACTCTTAATAGGATGAAAAGCTTTTGAAGGTATCCTTTATAGAATTGTCAAGTTAAAAATACATTTCTGTCATATTTTTCCACTACGTATGCTAAAATTGCATGCATTCTTAATGCTTTTTATGGTTGCAAACGCATTAACATCGAAGCAAAATTTTCTAGAAGTGATCAGAGGAATGTCAAACCTTAACTTTTTATTTAAAACATATGTTATACAATTTTTGTGGAAAAATTGAAATTTATCGACTTACGTTTTCAACTTTATAGCCTATAATTGACTTTCTTTTTCTAAGATGTGGGTCATACTCCTACAAATGTACCAAACATTCTTAAAAGGGTTAAAAATATAAAAACAACAACCAAAAATTAAAAAAAAAAAAATTAAAAACAAAACACACGCACACACACAAAAACAAACAAACAAACCAAAAATATTAACTCAAATATCCAGATATTTTAATTACATTTAGATGATAAATGTAGAATACTGCATACTGAAATCCATATGATGTCTTATCAGCCCTAGAACCTAATACCCGCCCTTTCGAATTGATACGGGGCACCTCGGGCCGATATGATACATTATATGAATTTTAGTATGAAATATTCGAAATATTCTCTCTATATAATTTTTTTAATTACCATTATTGTATTTTTTATTGCACAACAGAAAGCTTTAGCAGAAAAATACGGTGTACAGGGAATTCCCACATTGGTCATTCTGGACAAAGACGGAAACATCAAGGATAAAAACGCCAGAGGAACAGCCCAGAGCGCTGAAGGTTCCAGTGAACTTCCTGCTGCCTGGAAGTAGACAATATATTCAGCGTTTTCTCCGTGTTTCTTTTAAAACATGTTTAGTTAACTTAAACATTTTTATTCACATTATATATGTTATTAATGTTTCTAGACATACTCAAATGTGATATTTATTTGTGAAATTAAAGAAAATGCAGCATTATTTTAATTGTATTCTGAAGCTTTTGTCATACTGCCTTGCATATAATAAAGAGATTTTAATGTACTTTAATCTTAAAACACAACTTGATGATTATAGTTTAATATTCAGTATTGCATACTGAATTTTGAGATCTCTCTAGGAATCGAAATACCTTCAAGCGTAAGAGACTCAACTTTTCAACAAAGACTCCCTATTTTAATTACGCTGGCAACACGTCCCCTGAAATTAAATTTTCTGACAGATTTAAATGTAGATAAATGGAAAAAAATCTATGTAAATATAAGCTAAATGCAGTTTCAACAAGCTCGCTCTCTCTCTCTCTCTCTCTCTCTCTCTCTCTCTCTCTCTCTCTCATTAGCTAAGATATTATTGAAGTGCTGTGTCCTCTTCAACAGGGATTAGATTAGGAATAGCATGAAACCATGTGAAATCATCTGGCCCCGGGATCATGAAACATCTTAAGTCAAAATCTATATATTGCTCTGAAATTATGTTGAAATCAAACAGTCCAAAATAAAATTATTCAACGTTACATCATTACACTTTTGTTATCGGTAAATTAAGGGATTCAGCGGACAATTAATAAACATTCTATAGAATTTAAAACAGACTTAAGTCTAAGTTTGTTTCATGATCTCGGAGCACAATTAAGGGTAGATTTTAAGTTCTTTATATTACCATGACTGAGGCCAGGGTAGAGCCACACAAGCATTCCAGGTTTATTAACACAGAATGCACAGAACAACAAATCTTTAAAGTCATCGAGAACAGCAATGTTACTAAGTGTAAACAGTGAATATATAAAGAACTTCATGGTAAGAGATTTTAGATGTATGCCTTTGATAGTTTAAGGCCACAATTGAAGATCAGGGTTGAATCACATTAAATATACTGTATACTATTATATATAAATCAAGAGCAGCAGAGGTACTTTTGGTCAAATGTGAACCCAGATATATGTAGATTCAATTTTCTCTAAATTTAATATAAGTATATCAAATAATCATGAAAAACCCCTTAAATTTCCTCCATTTGAAATCGCTGAAATAATTTTATTTTCAGAGATTGTAGATACATGTAACATTACCTCGCTTGTAACGTGTTTTAGTTTTATTCACGATGCTTTTAAAAGATTCTTGGAAGTAATTTGTGATACAATTGCGTAGAAATATAATAAACGTTTACATAACCTTAGAAAAATTAATCTACTTTATTGTTATATCTCTTTATTTTACATACTGCATGCGTCAATAGAATACTGGGAATCATAATACATATACCTCTAAATAGGACGATGTATTTACTGTATATAAAAGTATACTGGAAAAGTTTTGAAATACTTGAAATAGATATAAATTCTGGAATCATAGGTACAAAGGTATTGTCCCAATAAAATACAGGGATCTTTTGTTTTTTAAATTCATAATTCAATTGACTATTCTCTACGAGCATAAAGCTTTTGTAAACGTATATAAGACATGCTATGACCAGAATAGAATGATTTAAATCATTTTTAAATCTTGACTTTGTGCATTTCTCATTTTAGGTATGTATGTAAATAAATGCGTGTATATTAATAGATCATCTTATTTTGATTCTTCACAACAATAATAATTCTTTGAATTTATTAACAGTTAAGGTAGAGAATTGTGAGACCATCCAATATTTACACCATCTATTTTAAAAACAGCCACTAGAGAACTAATTTCTAGGAATTCAAGATTTACTTTTTCAAAGAAACAATATCTTTCGGATTGTTTCATTGTTTCGTTGAAAACGTAAAATGATTTCCTGAAACCAGTGGCTGATTGAAATTTAATGCCAGTATTTTTCCAGGTGTTAAATTTGAACTCGTATAAAGTGTGTTTTACCTCTGGTTCAAATAATACATCTTTCGTCTTAATCTATTCATTAAAATAATTCTACTTCTCATATTTGCCCTTTTTGGAAAAAAAATACCTAGGTTTTCAAAAATGGTATGTCAAAAAACAACAATGGACATAGAATATTCACAGTGAAGGGAATAACATGGTGTAATTGCTTTTGCGGGTTAGTCTGAGCATTTACCACCATAAACAGAAGATGCACTGTGTGGACTGACTAAGGTTTTAGGAAAAAATGGTAGTGAAAGTTAGTGATCCTGTGAAGGACAAAACTTGCGTTAGAGATCTTATTTATAACGCAACTCCAATCATCTATCTCTCTCCCTCTGTCTCTCTCTATTAACAATCACAAACAATCACAAATTAATACCTATTGTGAATTAAGCTTCCTGATCGGTTTCATTGGATAATCTTAATATTTAGACTGTATGTAGCCTTAGTTAAAACTTATTCTGACCAATTTACTTATTATTTATGTCGAATACATACTGATTTATTTGCACGTTGAAACTCATCTTCCCTGAATAGCAAGGGGTTTTTTTTCTGTGTAAATACAGGACTTAAGAAATTGTAAAAAATTACATGTATATAAACAAAGTGGATTTAATGATTACAATGCACAATTTATGATCATGCAAACTGGATTTAAATTTATGGAAGTTAAAGGCCTCACTCTTTTACCAGAAAGAATATTAAGACAGGAAAAACTAAAGACTAGGACGTAATCTCTAATTTACATGCATTACTATAGGCAATGTTAAAACTTCAATCTATCTCTTTAATTTTAATTCGCTTTAAAAATCAAATAGACTGAGTGGAACCACAAGAGTTTTTAAGAATAAATAAAGAAAAATAAATCATAAAGTAAATTATAAAGGTTTTTTTTAAAGAATTGTACAAATTTTTCAATTTTATTAAGCTAGCATCATATGATGGGTGGATCCTGCATTCAAACATTAACGTTTTGAGAATTAAAAAAAAATTTAAACATCTAAACACATAGCTAAATTAACAAGATATTTTTGTGAAACACTGATATTGTCATACTTTATGATCCCGTATGACAGCTCACAAGTCAAACTCCAAGGTCAAGGCAAAGAGATAAAAAAATTTGGTTACCCAAATAAAGATCTTGTCACAAGGACTACACATGTGAAATATGAAAGCTGTTACAGCAACGATTCCGAAATTATGGTCAATGTTACCGTTTTTTTTCAAAGTAGGTCGATCTCAAAGGTAAAGTTAAAAAGGTCAAAATTGTTGTTATCAAAAGAAAACCCATGTGAAATATGAAAGGCATAACACAAATCATTCAAAAGTTATGGTCAACGTTTAAGTTTTTTAAAAGTAAACGAAACTTTTAGAACAAGGTAAAAAGGTCAAAATTGTTGGCACCCAAGGGAAGGCCTTGTCACAAAGAATAAACATATGAAATATGAAAGCCTTAGAACCAACCATTCAAAACTTATGGAAAGGTTAATTTTTTTAAAGATAGGTCAAGGTCAAAAGGTCAAAAATATTTGTACCAAAGGGAAGGACTTATTACAAGGAATACATAAAGATTAAAGCCCTATCACCAAACTTTCAAAAGACATGGCCAAGGTGAAATTTTGATAAAATTATGCAAAAGGTCAAAAGATCAAATATGTTGGTAACAAAGGTGAGATTACATGTTTGTCACAAGGAATACACAAGCAAAATATGACATCCAAAGGTTAAATCAATCAAAAATTATGGACAAGGCAACTGTTTTTGCGGACAAACAGACAGACGGACGGACCTAGCAAAAACTATATGCTCCAAGATCTTCGAGCATAAAAATCAAACAGATCAGCGCAACGATACATTAAATGACCTTCCTGCACTTTTATTGTAACTTACATATAAATCACGTACGCCAATTTATAGCGAGAGCAATTCGGGATAAACAGAAAATACCCCAATGCTCAAAATAACTTCTAAGTGTAGTCTGCATGGAAATACTTGAAGCTAAACATAAGAAAAACATTCTGCCATCAATCAAATGTAATTCGTTTTTGAAAAATTTAACCGTACTTTGTTTTCTAATAGTTGAATATTGTTAATTTTGGCATTTTTAAAGAAATCCCTACACGTTTGTAAGTTGTCCATCGCCAACAAATCAATAGTCCCTCCAACAGAAATACACCATACATACATGATACTTGAAATTACCATGTTTTTCCTTTTTATAAACTAAAGAGTGTGTTGGGATTATTAAAGGAGAACGATCTTACTAATCATTATTCGCCTAAACGTAAAGATACGTATTATTGTTTATTTTACTTCTGTGAACTTTTTTCTTTATAAAAGTATGCCGAATAAACCCACCATGTTTCTAAACAGCCCGTACCGTGAAATAGTTTCTATGCTATTTAACCATGGTGAAATAGTCATCGAACTGTTCACCAGTACCATTCCATTTTCATCGCGTTTCATCTCGAAACTCTTCAGTTTTATCCAAAAAGTAACGTGACACAGGTTAAATCTGCTTCGGTGAAATATATGGAGATAACAAACATTATTCAAGCTCCAAAGTCCATTTAAACAATACAAATCAGAAGCAGAGCAAACACGGACTTCTAAAACATTAGAGGTTGGATCAGGTGCCATGGAGGAGTTAGCATGCCCTGGCGACCGGTCACATCCGCCGTATGCTCCTTGTCATGATCGGGAAAAAAGGCATATTCCGTCGAAAATTCAGTGTGTAAATAATGGCTGAACAATTAGTATGAAAACGTCAGTCAGCATTTGACTTAAAGTTAAATAATGAGTCAAAATCATTTGTTTCTTTTAAAATATCTGTTTCTTTAAGCGAAAGATTTATGAAAATGATGAGTATAGCGAAGATATGACAGCTAAACTGCACTGTAAAGCAAGAAAAGATTGCACAATATAAGTGCCGGAAAAACAAAGGTTGTATCTACCGTTTCGTTGTTATCGTACATGTCAAGGTCACGCCACTTTCATTTTTAGCGTAAACTTGTAAACAACATTCAATTGGAGCATGCAAAGGTGAGAAATATGTTTTAATCATCTTTTTTGAAGATTGTATCAAAATTCTTGGTCTGCCGACATTCATTTCTTGGTACTTGAGAC